TTTTTTTTTTTTTTTTTTTTTCATCAAAGTAGAAATCAAGAACAAGATTGATTTTAAAAAATGAAAAATAAAAGAGGAACTCAAAATGAATGTAAGTTTGACTTTAAAATCACGAAGATTGCTTTAGAAGAATTTTCAGTGTTCTTACAAATTCATCATTATTCCATTATATTCGTTTAGGTTATGTTGCTGCGAAAATCATATATAAATGCCTTCAAATCTTTGAACTGCATAATTGAATATTTGCCAACTTCGATATTGAATGTTTTCCTACGGTTTTTTTCATCAGAGTTTCTGATGCCACGCTCCAATGTGAAATATAAAAATAAAATATAAAAAATAAACCACTATAGGTGAGACCCAAACGCTAACATAATGTTCAAGATCTTATCGTGAAAGTTGCAGGTTGTTTTGGTTAAGCTTAAAGGTGTTAAAACGGAAGATCGGGAATAATCTTGAGGTTACTTTTGCAATTTGAAATTCGAACGATAATAGGTGAGTTTTCATGGATTACAAAAGAGGTGAGGCAAGAAGAAGAGATACAAAAGAACGAAACAATTTATTTACTAATCATAACAACAAAATACAGCACAAATCATCATCAAACCATCACAACCTGCAATTCTGTATATAAGAATGTGTAACAAAAGAGGTCCTCTGCACCAGACGTGTAGGAATTAAAATCCAACAAAACGCCTAAAACAAATCCCCAAGGTTACTTCGAAAAAAGAAAAAAGGAAAGCAGAGCACAAATATATCGAATCATGGCAAAATCAATAACCAGATCGTGAGACGCCAGTACCTCAGATCCTGAGAGTAGATCCAAGGACGAGAGCGACGAAGAAGGCGGTGCAAGCGGAGACGAACGACGGAGCAATCGAGGAAGCAGGGGAGGCAGGGCTGGGCGCCGGAGCCTCCTGAGCTGCGACGGAAGCGACGGCGATGATGAGGGCAATGAGAGCCATAAGAGAAGCTTTGTAGACGGTGGCCATTGTTTCAGATATTTGTTTGTTGAGGCTCCGGCGAGAGGAAGAGATGGATTGAAAGAAGAGAGACCGAGAGAAGGCCTCTTTGGTTGGAAATGAGAAATGAATTTCCGCAAAGCCTTTTTATAGTACCGAATACAAACAAATTTATTCCGAGAAAGAAATGGAAAAATAAATAAAATTTAAAAAAAAAATACAAATTTAAATTTGTTTAAAAATAGATAAAAATTAAAATAGTCAATTTTGATAACAAACTAATAATTCAATTAATTTAAATATTATGAGTATTTTTTAACACTTTTTTAAATTTTTATGAGTATTTTCTATATTTTAATTTTTTAAATTAACAAAATTATTGTTATATTAAAAAATTAACATAAAATAAATATTTTCAAAAGGTTAATTGGTAAGATAAGGATTTAAATTTTCCTTTTTTCGAAGCACGGCGTCGTTTCCTGTATAACGTTCGTTGGTCCGTTGTAAAGTGGGACATTCTTAGCCTCGATCCAGAGGCTACAATGACGCGTGGCTCACACGAACGAGCATTAAACAGCTGTGATCGAATCGGACGGTCTAGATTAGAGCGTGAAGAACAACGCTAAATAAAAAGGAAAGGAGGAAGAAAGATGCGGAAAGCCACTGACTGAAACAGCGAAATAAAAATAAAAAGGGGAAATTAATGTGGATGGGGACCACAGGTGCAATGGAGAAAGGCAGTTAGGAGTGTGGGGCCCGTGATACAGAGACAGGGCTGTGTTGTTAAGAGATGACAGGTGAGGGTGATTGGCTGGTGATTCTCGCTGTGTTATTTTTTTTTAAATATGGTTCCAGAAACTTCCTTGTGATCTTAGGGCATATAAAAATGAAGATTATTTTTCGTCTAAATTATTAAAATGCTCTTAAATTTTGTTTATTATTTAAAAAATATTTTTATAAACACTCTAAAATTAAAAATCCATTAAAAAAAAAACCTTATTTAACTTATTAGTGTTTTATTTTTTAATTTTGTTATGTTTTAAAAAAATGGATTACGTTTCAAAATTTATAATTTTAAAATTTAATTAAAGAATTGAAATGTTTTGTTAAAATAAAACTAAATAAAAATAAGCACAAAAATGAAAAAGACTACAAAATTATAAAATAGAATAAAAAAAATTGCAATTTATACCTTATATTCAATTTTTGTTAATTCACTAACTAATTTCAAAAAAAAAAAAAAAAAAAAAACCCAATTAACTCACTAATTTAAGTAAAATCAAGTTTGACACAAAATTGATAATATAAAACAATATTGAATGAGTAGAAAAAACAGATAGTGAGTGAGATAAAAGTAAATTTTTTTTATTTTTAAAAATAATTGATAAATTCATATATGATTGATTAAAAACATTTATTTTGGTAGGATAATTAATCTCGAAAGAATAATATAAGAACAAGAATAATCGGATTATAAATTTTGGTAATGGAACTAAAAAATTCCTGGTTTCCTAGTGGAACCCCATTTCGCCCAAGTTATTGCGAAACCGGCAAAAATTAGCGATTTTGTGCACAGCTTACTCATAGTGTAGATCCCACTTAGTATATTGTATTTGACCGACAATAATTTAATTAAAAAGAACTAAATAATAACTGAAAACATATAGTGTTATGAAAATATCCATCACTTCGATCATACCATAGATTTGTGTTTAAAACATGATAAGCAATCTTGCATAATGATATCAATCATTCACTCATTCATTCATTCACTCACTCATTCATTCAAACTCCTCAAACTTCATACTCATTTTTGGGAAGTGATGCATCAAAGTATAGAGTGGATGATATCAATAGCAGCATCAAAATGCTCAATTTTTTACATCCAGAGATCTAAGGTGAGGATTACCTCCTACTTTACCGACTCAAATGTGGCCTCTAGATTGGAAATCATGACAGGGCATTCTCCCTTCTCATCATACTCTGCATACTCACCTCCAGACAAGTCAATGTCCTCGAACTTGGTCCCTTCTATCTGTGCAAAAGAAGGCAGCTGCTTTCAAACTTTTATGCAAACTAAAGCCGCAAGAACATGGACAATATCATTGTTCATAGTTAGTGAGTTAGGGGAAAAAATGTTAGACAGCATGATTATAATAAAAGGGTTAGTGTATCGAGGCATGTTCTTCATTGTTTTCAATCTCATTGTGCAAAATTTTCACGCCTCTATTTCAGAAATATTAATGCTCGGGGATAGAGCTGTAAGAGTAGGGACTATATAAATTACTTGCCGTTTATATAATCTCAACGAAGAATGTCACTCATTGATTTTGGACAAGAGACATTAGGAATCACGAATCTTCACAATAGTATGATATTGTCTATTTTGAGCATAAGCTCTTATGGCTTTGCTTTTGGATTTCTCAAAATGCCTCATATCAATAGAGACACATTCCTTACTTATAAATCCCTAATCATTCTCTAAATTTGTCAATGTGGGACTCCCTTCCAATGATCCTCAACAATCCTCCCATTGAACAAAGTACACTATAAAGGCTCCTCTAAGATTTATGGAGCTCCTGAACAGTCTCTCCTTAATCGAGGCTTGACTCCTTCTCTGGAGCCCTCGAACAAAGTACACACTCATCATTACAGAAAATTTATTTTATCAAATCAAGGTTACAGTCACAGACATCTCTAATGAGCTATATCAGGAACAAAAAGCTATAAAAAAATTCAAAAAAATTCATCTATAATGAGCAATATTAAGAAAAGAAAACTCGAACAAAAAGAAGAGAAAAGAGAAGCAAAATCCCCTAATAAAAATTCTTTTTAAAAAAAAAGACAGAAGGAAAAGTATGAAAGAGGAAGGATATTCTATTCTCATATGCCAACTCTAAAACGCGGTGAATCTGCATGCATGTTCATGGAGTTCAGAAAACTATATCCTTTACCAGCGGAAACAGGTAGACCATGTCAAATACTTCTTGTTTATTACATGAGTTGGAAGGTAGGTAAATTGGAGAACTTACAGATTCTGCTTTCCATCCAGGTCCAAATATGAAGCCCACAGGCTCATAACCTCTGCAGTCAAATAACATCAAGGGAGATGATTTCCCTGATTCACTTGTTTCCTGAGTCAATGGTTGACCTCGCCCCGGAATCATTGTAATAGTTCCATCCCTCCCACAGAACTTGCACTATAAGAA